GTAGTTTAACTGGCGCAGTCGGTAGGATTCCAAGAAGATAGTGATATCTTTGCTTTTGTGCATTTATCTTGGAACAAGTGTAATCGTCGAAGACATGACAGACGTCACGAAGCTTCGGTGTCTTGTCGCTGAAAGTTGCTCTTGGTTCTCACTGAAGCTCAACTGGAAAAACGCCAGATCATTGAGTCTTCTCTTCTAACCATTTTTGGTTAAACTGGAATCCCAATTGTCCGCAATACAACGGAGTCCTGGAGTTTCCACCCTGACTATTGGAGTCACAAAGCTGATTAAGCAGATTGTTGGTAGTGGGTTAGTCGTTTTGAATGACCCATGCAAACCGTTAATGAAGTTTGCGCATTCCCTTTTTACTAATTCAAATTTATAATTATTTTTATTTTTGTGTGTTTCTTGAGAATTTAATTCATAATGACAGAGGCGGGTTCACAAGGAAACCGTGGTAACGCTACTCAAAATTTTATTGACTATGATAAAGCATTTAAGCTTATTCAGAAATTTGATGGTAAAAATTCACAACTTCATAACTTTATAGATGTCGTGGATTTCATACATACTCGATTTGATCCGCAGGAACAACATATTTTTCAATTTATTGTAAAATCCAAGCTAGATGGACCTGCATTAGATCATATAACGTCGTTAGAACTAACCACCTGGTCAGACATTAAAGTCGAATTGCTAAAAAAATTTGGTGAATCCTTAGATATTCACTGTCTTGCTTTCGAGATGACTCATTTAAAGCAATTGGTAAACGAAAAACCTTTAGATTTTGTGCAACGTGTCGAAAAACATTTAATGCGCATTCAAAAGCTTATAAAATATGATTCATCACATGATGAAAATGCTCGTAAATTGTTGCGAGAATATCAAGACAAGTCGGCTCTTTTAACAATTAGTAATGGTTTGAAAGATCCTTTTTGCTCATATATTGGTGTGCAGAGACCATCATCAATTGTCGAAATAACAAATTTAATCCAAGATTATGAAAATCAACAATTTATGATTAGACAAAATTCTTTCCGTTCTGTTAACAACAATCAGCAAACAATCACACCTGCATCTGTAAATGTCCAAAAGCCGTTCACCCCTAATAGACCCCCAGTAAAATTAGTTATAAAAAAATGCACATATTGTCATAAATTGGGTCATGATGTTCAAAATTGCTATGCGAAACGTCCACAAGTTCAGGTTAAAAGTGAAGGTGGTGGAATCAGTGTAATAAAAACATGCGTAGAAAATCTAGCGGTCACTGAATCGGAGTTTTGCAACGAAGAAACCCTTGAATACGAACTCTCCGACGAAAATTTTCGCGAAGCAGCCTCGGACACTCAAATTTTGGAACAAGATCAAATGCTGGAAAACATGAAAGAATTGGAAATTTAAACTTAACAGAATCTACCCTATTTTTTGTCAAAATAAAAAACTTCAATCTAAAATTTTTAATCGATTCAGGTGCCACAATTTCTATCATAAAACCTTGTAAAGTTAAAAATTTAGAGAGTTTGCAAAATGAAAATGTAAATGTTAGTGGAATTGGTGGAAACAATCTTAACAGTACTAAAAGTATCAATTTGCAATTATTAGGAAAACATCATAAATTCTATGTTCTAGATATTGAATCTTCTTTCGATGGAATTTTAGGTTTAGATTTCTTGCAAAATTACAATTGCAATATAGACTTTTCAAAATCCATTTTAAAAAATGATAAAAAGGAAATACCATTGTTCACATTAGGTAATAATACAATCACTGCGATTAAAAATAACTCTGATCAGCTGATTCATAAGATTTCAACTGTTTCGGAGCAGATACTAGAACCCGGATCGCAGACTGTGGTTGTTTTGAAAATAAACACCGTTCGCGACGGAAAAAATTATTTATGTTCAGAAAAAAATATGTGTAATGGTAAAATCAGAATTCCTAATGCTCGTTAATGTCATAAACTGGAAGTTTGTAACAACAATTTTTAATAATACAACCTCGCGGTACAGAATGAAAGATGTTTGTTTCGAATTGGAATCTTTAGACACAGTTGCTATAAACAAAATTTGTAAACTTGATAAAAAGCCACCTAGTCATTTTCACAGATTGGAAAAAATAAAAAATCTTTTGAAATNAAAAAAAAAAAGGAAAAAACTTTGTACTTGCACAAAAAATAAAAATTAAGTCGAACTACAATATGTATTTTAATACAGCGTTTTAACAATTGGTTAAGACGCAACAATAATAGTTTTGAAGTTATTTAAGAAAATAGATGAAAATTGACGATTCCCCATCTTTACCTCCGAAACTACTGAACCTAAAATTTTGAAAAAAATACTTAAAATAGTTATTTACTTATAGATGACAGAAAAATTAATAAAAAGTCTATGGTCTGAACATAACGTGGTAAATCTTTCAACAAAACAATATTGTG